AACACAGCTCATGCGGTGTTCTTAGAGAACATTGGTCACACAAGCCTCTTCACAAAATGCTCAGCTGAGGTAAACCACTTTTTCTCGTTAAGTTGCCCAAACCAGTGTCTCAATGGAAACCCCTGTGCATGAGCCGATGGGCAGTGGACAGTGGAAACATCTCCGCAATTTTTATCATTTATTTCTGGAATTCCAGTGATAACTGAGGAGTGTCACAGGGCTGTCTGCGTGTATTCTCAGCCTCTCCCTTACCACAACCCACGTGGGTCACCCCTGTCTTAAAGACGAGGAAAACAGGCGTGGGGACGGCAGGCATTTGTCACACCTATTTATGTGAAAGCCGTGGATTCCCATAGTGCTTCCTTTTTAAAATTTAATCATTATTTATTTTACATCCAGACTCCCACTCTCTCCTCCTTCCCCCTCTCTTCCTCATCAACCCACTGCTCCTGCCTATTTGCTCAGAAAGGAGCAGCCCCCATGGGCATCAGCACAGCATGGCATATCAAACTGTCATAAGACCAGGCATCTCCTCTGCGCTGAGTGTGGACAAGGCAGTCCAGCATGAGGAACAGGTTCCCAAGAGCCAAAGCACCAGGGACAGTCCCTTTCCAGTTGCCCGGAGTCCCACAAATAGACCAAGCTACTCAATTGTCCCATGCAGGCTCCCTGGTTGTTGGTTCAGAGTTCCCATGAGCCAGGCAGGTTGTTTCTGTAGGTTTTCCCTGAATGTCCCTATTCCTCTAGATCCTACAATCCCTCTTCCCTCTCCTCAGCAGAACTCCCCGAGCTCGGCCCAGTATTTGGCCTTAAATCTCTGACTCTGCCTCCATCAGTCACTGAATGAAGGCTCTCTGATGACACCAATCCGATCACAAGGGATGGCGTGTTCAGACTACTCATTCTTTGCTGCCAGGAGAATTAGCTGGGGTCATCCTTGTAGACTCACGGGAGCTTCCATTATATCAGGCTTCGTTATCTGCCTCATAAAACTCCTCTGCCCATCCCAAAACCTGATCCCTCAAGTTCCCATCCCCACCCACCCCAATCCACCCAGGAGATCTCCTCTATTTCCCCTTCCCAGGGAGATCTGTGTGTCCCTCTTGGACTCTCCTTGTTACCTGCCTGTCTGGGTCTGCGGATTGAAGTGTGGTTGTCCTTTACTGTACAGCTAATGTCCGCCTATGAGAGAGTGCTTACCTTGTTTGTCTTTCTGGGTCTGGGTTACCTCACTCAGGATGATTTTTTTTTTTCTAGTTGCATCCGTTTGCCTGTAACTTCCTGATGTCATTGTTTTTAACATCTAAGTAGTGCTCCATTGTATAAATGTACCATATTTTCTTTATCCTTTTTTTCAGTTGAGGGGCATCTAGGTTGTTTCCAGGTTCTGCCTATTACAAATAAAGCTGCTATGAACATAGGCGAACAAGTTTCCTTGTGGTATGATTGAGCAGCCTTCGAGTATATGCCCAAGAGGAATATAGCTGGGTCTTGAGGTAGATTCCCATTTTTCTGAGAAACTGATATATGATTTCCACGTTTACATTCCCACAATCAGTGGAGGAGTGTTCCCCTTGCTCTTCTTCCTCTCCAGCATAAGTTGTCATTTGTGTTTTTGATCCTAGCCATTCTGACAGGTTAAAGATGGAATCTCAGAGTCGTTTTGATTTGCATTCCCTGATGGTCAAAGATGTTGAGCATTTCTTTAAGTGTTTCTCTGAAATTTGAGGTTATTCTGTTGAGAGGTCTGTACCCTATTTTTTAAATTGAATTACTTAGTTTTTGCTGTCTAGTTTAGTTTCTTCAGTTCTTTATATCTTTTGGAGATCAACCCTTTGTCAGTGTGGGTTGGTGAAGATCTTTTCCCATTCTGTAGGCTGCCATTTTGTCCTATTGACAGAGTTCTTTGTCTTTCAGAAGCATTTCAGTTTCATGAGGTCCCATTTATTAATTGTCACCCTTAGTGTCTGTGCTACTGGTGTTTTGTTCAGGAAGTTGTCTCCTGTGCCAATATGTTCAAAACTGTTCCCCACTTTCTTTTCTATCAGGTTCAGTGTGACAGAATTTATGTTGAAGTTTTTGATCTACTTGGACTTAAGTTTTTTGGAAGGTGATAGATATGGATCTATTTGCATTCTTCTACACATGCTGACATCCAGTTATGCCAGCACCATTTGTTGAAGATGCTTTCTTTTTTCCATTGTATAGTTTTGGCTTCTTTGTCAAAATCATGCATCCATAGGTGTGTGGATTTATTTCTGGTTCTTCAATTTAATTCCATTGATCAATGTGTCTGTTTTTATGTCAATACCATGCTGGTTTTATTACTATAACTCTGTAGTGGAGCTTGAAGCCAGGGATAGTGATACCTCCAGAATTTCTTTTATTACACAGAATTGTTTTGGCTATCCTGGGTTTTTTGTTTTTCTATATATAATTGAGTATTGTTCTTTCAAGGTCTGTAAAGAATTGTGTTGGAATTTTGATGGGAATTGTGTTGAAACTGTAGATGGATTTTGGTAAGATAGCTATTTATATTATGTTAATTCTACTGACCCACAAGCTCATAGTAATTTCTTACAGCCTATACCGTGACTATGTTCTATAATGTATAAGACAGCTGTGGATGAGGAAGGAAACAGACCTAGGTATCAGCTTTCACTGCTGCAGTTCTTTCTAGAAGTACATTCTTAAGTGGAGGAGAGAAAAAAGAGTGAGAGAAAAATATTTGCTCATCATATACATAAGGGACTATCCGGACTATGCAAAAAAAATTCTTATAACTCAGCAATGAGCAAAATTAGCTCATTTTAAAAATATCTAAATAGACATTTGATTTCAAAGAAGATACAGAGATGACTAATAAGTACATGAAATATGCTTGAAATCATTAGCCATTGCAGAAAACCAAATGAAACCACAATAAGAAACAACTTCACACACTCTAGGATGTCTAAAATAGTGATGAGGTATTAGCAAGGATGTACAAATAATGGAACCCAAACCCCCATGCATTGCTGTTGGGAATGCAGCAGGTCGGTAGTTCCTCAGAGGTTAGACAGAGTTCTACATGTGCCAGAAAATTTCTTTATAGAAAATGCATCTATGCAAAAGTTGCACATGTGTGCTCATAGTTAAAATAGGCAAACCATACAATGGTCAATAGCTGATCAATGTATAAATTGTATGAGCATGTGTGTGCACACGAGGCCAGAAAAACACATTGGGTCTCCTGTTCCATCATTCTCTGTCCATCATAATGATGGGGTAGTGTTGATAAACAATAAGAAGGAATTAAATTGTCTGTGCTGAAATATGGACAGACCATGTAAGTGCTGGGCTAACTGAAAGAAGCCAGGCAAAAGAGGCCATGCACTGTATGGTTCCACTATTTTATGAAATGTCTTTAGTAGGCAAATCCATATCAACAGAAAGTTCTATAGTGGTTGCTAAGGTCCGGGAGTAGGTATGACCAGATGCCAATTAGATGGACATTGGGGGTATAAAAATACCTTAAAATTAAGTATTGGTGACGGTTATACAACTTTGTGAATATACGTTTTGTTTTGTTTTTTTGAGACAGGGTTTCTCTGTGTAGCTTTGGTGCCTGTCCTGGAACTCACTCTGTAGCCCAGGCTGGCCTCAAACTCACAGAGATCCACCTGTCTCTGCCTCCCAAATGCTGGGATAAAAGAAATGTGCCAAAACCACCGGCTGTGAATCTACTTTTTAAAAAATCTACTGAACTGGACCTGGAAATGCAGCTCGGTTGGCACAGGACTTGGCTGGCATGTTTAAGGCCCTAGGTTCAATCCCAGAACCACATAAACCAAGTGAAGTTGTATACAGCTGTGATCTGAGCATTCAGAAACTAGAGGGAGGGTCTGAAGCTCAAGGTCATTCTTAGATCTGCAGCATGTTCAAGGACAATTTGGGATGCAGGGAAGATGTAGTATGCAGTTTAAAAGGGAAATTTTATGCCGTGGAAATAGCTGTAGAATTTTATGACCTTTTCGGGGGGTTGACAGCTTTGAAAGCTATGGGTGTAGCTGGATGTGGTGATGTACACTTTAAACCCAGCACTTGGGAGGCAGAGGGAAGCAGGCTGATCTCTGTGATTCCAAAGCCAGTTTGGTCTACTTAGTAAGTTCCAGGAGGGTCAGAGCTATGTAGTGAGACTCTGTCACCCCCAAATAAATAGCTAGATAAATAAAGAAGTGGGTTTAGCGTTCCTCATAGCGGCTGTTCTCAGCCTTCCTAATGTTGTGACCCTTTAATATGGTTCTTCATGTTGTGGTGACCCCAAGCATAAAATTATTTTTGTTGTCACTTCATAGCTATAACTTGTCACTATTATGAATTGTAATGTAAATATCTGATATGCAGGCTATCTGATATGCAACCCCCAAGGGGGTCATGGCCCACAGGTTAAGAACCGCTCTCCTACATTATCTGTATTATGTGTCTATCAGTACTGTGTATTTAGGAAGTTTTCACTGGTGGTCTGTTCAGACCTAGTTACACGCATCACCTAATTGTACCCAGGAGAGAGCAGATGTCCCAGAGTGTCACCTTGATCTCTATGGGTTGACGAATCAGTCTATAAAAGACATATTGTGATAAAAGAGTAAGAAAGGCATCCTGCGCTGTCTGACGGGGGTTTGGAAGGTGAAGGTGAGGTTGTAGGAGAGTCAGGAATCAAAGCAAGCTTATTCTTTCCTTTCTCAGCTGCGAAAATGTCCTGAGCTTAATAGAAAGCACTTTCTTTGGCTCAGACCCCCCCCACACCCTTCTTTGCTTTGCCATTCAGAGGAAATAGATTGGATTTTAACGCAAGAAACAATTTCAATGGCAAGCCCGCTTGGGGGAAAATTTCTAAGCACCCTGGGAACAAGTCAAAATAAGGTCTCTCTGTGGGGGAATGTTCATATTCTGAACCAGGCGAGGAAAGATTAATTACAGCGTGACCTTTTCTGAAGCAAGGGTCACGTTGTTGGGCTTGGTCTTGTTAGTGCTGGTGGTTTTAGAGCCCCAGTGGCCTGCGCTCTGATTGGGTGGAGGACGGCAGTGCCCAGAGGCAGGAGCTCAGTTATTCTGAAGGACAAACAGGCTGTGCAGAAGTGAAGTTCCCTGTAAATGATTCCGGTTCCAGCCAGCCTCCGAGCTGGAGACCTAAGGTCCAGTTTAAAGCAGTTCCTTCTCACTTTTCTAATATCATTTTTGTCAATTATAACCTTTTAGGGCCAAATAAACTAGTGACCAGGGGTATTCAAGAAGGACTAAACACACACAGATACCCAAAACTCCACTTGTAAGTAATAAGCCTCTGATACTT